AACGAAACCCGGCAGAGCCTGATCAGTGGGCTAAACGGACAAGCTGATTGTAGAAGGCTGACAGGAGACAACAGTTCCGCAAAGTCATGGAAGTGTCTGCATTAGGAGGCTTCGTAGGAAAGAAGTAGAATTCAGGTATGGCGACAAGCCGGAAGTCTGTCAGCGACAGGAGACGCTCTACAGGGACAAAGGAAGAGAAGCGAGTTCTGGTTGGTTGTGGGTGGCGCATTGTTTTTTGATGACTTGGGCACAGCTAGAAATGGACACCTGTACATCCATGTCCAGGAAGCGCGAGCTTTGTTTCCCTGAGTGAAATACTCACAGACCTCCCAACGACATGGGTCTGGACCTCAGAGTGACAAAATCAAAACAGAAGCCAAGGGTAAAATGGGCGGTGACAGTAAGAGCGCAATGCCTAACGGCACCAAGGCAGAGGATGGCCAAAGAGTGCCACGAGCAACTGGGTCTTCAGACGTGATGCGCACAGCGTCAGAAAGATGCAGCTAGCACCGTGGGAAAGAAATCGGACACACAGTCGGAGAGAGAACACAAAGAAAAGTGGCGCTGGCTATCTCGCGCCGCTGTTCCTCTCAAGATTTCTCAAGTGCTCAGCGCAATGTCTCTGGCATGAACATTGCTATTCCTGGAAATGTGTAAAACGTTAAGAATTGTAATTCTCCTGTCAAAAGGTCACACGGGCGGATGACCTTAGTTTACAGTGGGCAGGTCCCCGCCAGGAACCCCGAGGGGAGCATTGTCACCATCTCCCCAGGCACCACGTGATGAACCATTTCACTCAATAAATCTTGGGTTACTCGTATAACACTTTTTAATTTGGTCGTCTATATTTTCTCTTTCAGTTCTTGCATTTTATGACTTGATGGCTTTATAATGTTCAAGACAATTCTTGAGAGGGCACAGGGGTCTAGATGAAACTAACACGGCTAGAATTGTAAAATGATGGGGAATGGAAAAAGGAAATTTAAGAAAAAAGGAAGGATGTGAGTGTTCCTAGGTGTGTGTGGTGGAGAAGGTTTATTGTAGCTGAGAGGAAGAGCAAAGCCAGAGGCAAGGACATCTGAGAGATTCAGAGTGAACGCGGCCCTGAGCTGAGTGGGCCACATGAGGAGGAGGCGGGACAGCCAGGAGGGTAAAGGGTAGACAAAAAAGACAGGTAGCTAAAATGGCTGGATTAAATAGGGAAGGGCAGTCCAGCCCTCGGGCTGGACAAGTTTAGGTTAAGGGGTGAGGTATGCCAGTCATACCCTGTGAGAGGTAGGGACTGAGGGTTGCTGAAAGAACCTGGCAGCCAGGTCTGCTTTTGTACAGTCAGGCTGTTTGAGACACACAGCCTTCATTAGAGACACCTCCACGGGAACCTCTACATGCCTTAACCCGGCACTGTTTATCGTTCTGTGCATATTTCAGAGAACAGGAGGAAGAAAGCTGGGCATTGCTAGCCGAGCTTTCAGATGAATTCATTGACAGTCTTCCAATTGAAGACCACCGAGAGTCCACTGAGCCAAAGGCCAGGCCTTAGACATTCCTAAAGCAGACCTAGGCTATGGAAATCGCTATCCTAGGCTCTACTTGAAAGAGAATTCAGTCCCAACGCACTTGTGACAGCCAGCCTGGTTCCCTGATCCAGGGAGGAGAGCAGCAGTTTGGAAGTCTGGGTACCCCAGGCGTAGCCATCTTGGCTCCCTGACATTGAGCAGGTGAGTTTGTCACCCATGCCTCAGTTTACTGACCCGTAAATCGAAGTAGTAGAATTAAGTTCAGAAGTAAAATCATCAATCTCTCTCTCTTTCTGTTTTTCTCTCTGTATGTAGGGTATGCATGTCTGTGTGTTTATACATGTCAGGAGACGTGCGAGTCTCACATGTTCACACGTGCAGGTGGAGGCCCAAGCTTTGTGTCAGGAATTATCTCTCACTGCTTTTCCATTTTAGTCACTGAGGCAGAGTCTGCTCGCCAAACCCAGAGCTTGCCAATATATCTTGTCTTTCTGAGCAGCTCGCTCTGGAGGTTCTCTGTCTCCTTGAACCCCAGGCAGACCACCATGCACACCCCACATTTATGTGGGTTTCTGGGGATCTGAACTCTGGTCCTCATGTTTGGACAGCAAATGCTCCAACCACTTGGCCATCCTCTCAGCCCCCACCAATATTTTTTTTTTTATTTAAAATTGTATTAGCAGTCAAGATGGCTCAGTGGGTGGAAGTGTTTGCTACCAAACTTGAGGATCTGAGTTCAGTTCCCAGAACCCACATTGTAGAAGAAAGCCAACTTTTGTAATTTGTCTTTCTGTAACTGACCTGTTGGAAATAAATGTTTTATAAAGACATCTGTGTCTATCATCAGACTGTAAGAGTACCCTAACTATGGACCCCACGAAACTAGAAATCCCCCATCACCCCCAGGAATCTCCTGCTGCAAGGAGGAAAATGCTGAAGACTGGTACCCATGGAAGGGGCCTTCTCTCCCGGGAGTAGATCAGGAGTAAATCGTACACAGCCATCTCTCCCAGGAGTAGATCGCACCCAGCCATGACAGTTCATCAGACCTCCTTACAGGCCAAACTGAAGACCAGACCATAATGGGTCAAGGGTGGACAATACCAAATCTTGACCAGGACTGCTTCCCTATGCAAATTCCCTAGCTTTCTGTTTAAATTTCCATCTCACGTCAGGACCCTAACAATGGGTTTGAGGGGGGGCGGTGTCACTGGATTTCTTTGTCCCTCAGCCCGGTGTGGCCACATGTAAGACATCTCCTTCTTTCTGTTCTCTTACTATTAGGCTGTTGTATAATTGACCCCTTTAGTTTGAGTGACTGGACCTAAAGGCAGAGATTGTGGTCCCAGTTTGTGAACACAAGACACATGTGGCATGGCGCGCGCATGCGCGCGCGCACACACACACACACACACACACACACAAATGTTAAAAATTTAAATTTTATTAGCATATATTAGTTATATTATAAAATAACCGGTTTTATCATGAGATGTAAAGTCACTGCTCATAATGGTAGGCCCCTCAGGCAGGTGTTCTACACTAAATTACAACCCAGCACAGTGGTAGTTTTGGAAAGTTAAGTAATACGATGAAGTTAGTTGCAATTACTATGTGACAATTAAAAATGAAAACATAGTAAAATATGGCTAGTCATATGTCAACTTGATGGATAAACTAGACTTATCGGAAAGGAGGGAAGCTTGGGAAAGCTCACTTGAGCTGATGCCTCCATATGACCTAGCTGTAGAGCATTTTCTTAACTAGTGATTGATGGAGGAGGCCCCGCCCATGGTGGGTGGGGTCATTCCTGGGCCAGAGGTCTTGTGTTCTGTAAGAAATCAAGCTAAACAAGCCTTGAGAAGCAAGTCAGTAAGCAGCACCCCTCCATAGTCTCTGCATCAGCTCCTGCCTGCAGGTTCTTTCCCTGTTTGAGTTCCTGTCCTAACTTATTTTGATGATGAGTAACAACATGGAAGTGTAAGCCAAATAAACCCTTACTTTTCTGTAACCGGAGGCTGCGCATTTATTTCCTGACTGTTCAGACACGAATAATCACACAGAAACTGTATTAATTACAACACTCTTCAGCCAATGACTCAGGCATATTTCTAGCTAGCTCTTACATCTTGAATTAACCCATTTCTATTAATCTGTGCATTGCCAGGAGGCTGTGACTTATCAGTTAAGGTTCTGGGTATCTTTTTCAGCAGCTACATGGTGTCCCTCTCATTCCGCCTATTCTCTCTCTATCTCTGTTCTGATTTCCTGCCTGGCTTTACTCTGCTAAGCCATTGGCAAAACAACTTTATTCATTAACCAATAAAAGCATCACATATACAGAAAGACATCCTGCATCACTTCCCCAATTTGCTTTTTGACCTTGGTGTTTTGTCTCAGCAGGAGAAACCCTAAGACAAAAGGCAGTTAAATCTAGTTAACTGTTCAGGCTATTTCAAACTTTCTGGTATGGTTAAAAATATATGAATCCTAGTTTGTTTTGTGCTTTTCTTGTGTTAGGGTACCTGAAGAGAAAAACTCCAAAGACGCCTGAATAAGTTGAATGGAGTCTTTATTAATTTTCTCAAGAAGATTAGCAGGAAGCAGCTATAACTGCCAGTTTGTGATCACCAGTTTGTTTGAGAAAGAAAGAAAGAAAGAAAGAAAGAAAGAAAGAAAGAAAGAAAGAGAGAGAGAAAGAAGGAAAAAAGGTTACTGTTTGGTCCCAAAGAAACTCAGGACAAGTGACTAATTGTGGTACCTATTAGCATATGCAAATTCTCAAGTACCTGTGACAGAGCCTCCTGGCTGCTCTCAGTCTCTGACCCCATCCCCCTACCCTAAATGTCTCCAGTCTGGGGCTTTGCTTCCCTTCCTCCAGCTTCTGATTCCTATAAAAACCTGCCATTTTGGCTATGCCACACTTTTTGTCCTTCTGGTCCTAGGGTCCTCTCTCGTCCATCTGTGTTCTCTCTTTTCTTCCTCTCTTACTTGCTGTCCTCCCCCCACCCCATGGTCTGGGTCAGTCTGGATCCTTCCCGAGGGATCATGTTCTCGTTTTCATTCAGTGACCCATACAGAAAGCATCTGCAACCAGCAAGGATTGTTTACAGCGGTAGAGAGATAGCAGTTAAACTTTCAGGTCAGAGTCCCATACTGTGGGAGTCTGTAGCGGTCAATCCAGAGACCAGCTTACCAAAGGAATTTAGGGCTGGTCCAAGAGAACAGAGGCCAGTTTCAGCACTATTCTGAAGAACGCATTCATGAGATGGCATAACCACAATGCCTTCGCCTGCTACACTTGTTCGTTCTCATTTTATTTTGTTTTAGCTATTATTTTAGATGCCTCTTTGTTTTCTAATGAGAGAGAAAGAAAGGGTGTAGATTTGGGTGGGTGGGGACGGGGAGAGGATGTTAGGAAAAATCCTAACACGAGCCACTCTGCCGGTACAAAGAAATACAATCAGGTCAAATCAAACCAAATTAAAATACTCTTGTTTTAATAAATGCAGCATTCTTGGGTGGCCGAGAGCATGGCAGGGGACACAAAAAACTGGGGAGTACATGCAAAACCCAGGACCACGTGTTCCTCCTCTGGGCACCTATGGGAGTAGTCCTGACCCTTCCCTGGGGAGGGGTCAGAACCTAGCATGCTGGGATTTGGGGTTCAGACAAATGAAACTCCCAGGCCAGGGGGCTGGGATGGATGCCAGTGGCTGGGGTGATGTTCCCAACTTAATATTACATTCCAGACTTTTTGGATATAGGGGTGATAGGAAGTTGAGGTGATAATTATGCCTAACATTTAGGCTCTCTTTGGAAAAAGGGGCGTAGACTCAAGTCTGGCTACTTCCTACAGGCACGGGACCATGTGGAAGAGGGAAGAGCTAAAAGTTGGCTCTCTCACACTCAGCGAACGGTGTGGTTGGGGTGGCATCCGGTTTGCTGTAGAACTCAGGCAGCTTCTTTTTAAGGGAGATGCGAAGGCAGGTGGCTAGGAGAAAAAATATTGTTATTATTGGCCCTATGAAATGGAGCTAGCCATGGGATGAGACACAATAGCAGAAGAAACCAGATTTCATTTGGCAGGTGTCCTCAATCCAGAAGAGTTCACAGGTATCCTTGATTTAGGAGAACTGGTACTAATGGTGAAATCCCAGGAGCTGGTGTAGGTGCTTTTGGTGTTGACTCCACCCTTCTTCCCTACACCATTCAGCTTAGTTTTCCCCACCTAGCTCTGTTCCCCTATAGCTCTGCTATAGGCCCAAAGCAGTTTCTTTATTCATTAACCAATAAAGGCAACACGCAGACAGAAGGACCTCCTACACCATTTCCCCTTCTCTGTTGAGACAAAAAGGAAGGCTTTAACTTTAACATAGTAAAATTACATAGAACAAAACAGTTATCAAGCAAGAATTACAGTTACAAAATTTATATCCACTTTATCGTTTATCATAACTAAGAAAAACTATAACTATATAAATTCTTCAACTCCATCAAAGACTCCAGAAGGATATACTATTATCTAAGTAAACAGGAAGTGCATTGTAAGCAACTTCCAAAACTCTGGAATTGACAGAGACATCTCGCTGCCTGGACAGTCACTCAAAGTTCTTCTGTACCGTTGGAGCATCCATCTTCAGCCTACAGGCTCATAGTATCCAGCAGACTTTTCCACAAAGCAGGGAATTTCAAAGACAGTTCTGCCTATAGTGGTGGTCTCCGGTGGCAGCTCCATGGCTTCTCTCTGACTCCACCCTTCTTTCTCCCAGCATTCACCCTAGCTTTTTCCTACCCACCTAAGTTCTGCCTTGCTATAGGTACAAAGCAGTTTCTTTATTCTTTAATGGTGATCACAGCACACAGAGGGGACTCCCACATCCGGAGCACTGAGTTAAAAAAACAAAACAAAACTGGGGTCCATGATAAGTTGGTCAGGAACGTCTCCCTGCCCCAAAAATCATCTCTGCAAAAGGCCCGGCCTTTGCCACGCGTGTATCAGGCTTTTGGCATGGCTGAGACTTTAACAAAAGCCCAAAAAGTGAACGGGTCACCCCAAAACTCTTCTAGCATGTAGTTTATAAAGGGTAACTCACCAAGTGAAGCTGATGTTCCTGGCGGAGCACATGAAAAGGGCATATTCCAGCATAGCCCTAGACCCTGGGCCTGCAGGAAAAAATGAACCCCTTCGGTGGAACCTCCAAATATTAGGAAAAATCCTAAGATGAGAATGTAATGTTGAGTTGGGAGCTTCACCTCTGCCCCTGGCATCCATCCCAGCCCCTGGCCTGGGAGTTGCATTGGTCTGGACTCCAAATCCCAGCATGCTAGGTCCTGACCCCTACCCGGGGAAGGGTCAGGACTACTCTCACAGGGTATTTACGTGGACATGCAGAGGAGGAACACGTGGTCCTGGGTTTTGCATGTACTCTTCGCCTGCCATGTTCTTCGTCACCCGAGAATGCTGAATTTATTAATACACGGGCATTTTAATTTGGTTTGATTTAACCTGATTGTATTTCTTTGTGCCGGCGGAGTGGCTCGTCTTAGGAGTTTTCCTAACAGAGGATTTGAGAGGAGTTAGGGAACAGAAAACCATAATCAGAATATACTAAATAAACTCTAGGAAATTTTCTAGAATTTTTTTAAAAAAGAAAGCACAATTGAAAAGCAAACATTTAAGTATCTGGTCATCCTTTATTTGATCAAAAGTGTCAAGCAGTGGTCAGTGCCACCTTTCCGTGCACGCTGAAGCAGGACCTGGACTACTCTTCCAAACCCACTCTTTCCTCAGGTTCCCATTTTGCTCTTGGACTCTTCCTCCTGCCTCTTCCCACCACCAAGGCAATTTCTACTTTTAAAAGTTTGCTCTGGAACAGGAGAAGTGGTCTCCCCTGGGACGAGCCTCCTAATTGGTTATCCAACGTTTTCAGGTCCAAAGGAACCTCCAGTTCCCCAAACTCTAAAAGGCAGTCCAGACATCCAGAAGTGAGTTCAGTCTGGCCTATAGGATTTCTGGCAGTTAGATAAAAGCCAGTGTTCCTCGGGAATTTGTGAAGATGGATCCCCTCTACCCAAAGGAGTCATTTCCCTTACCTCTGGCAGAAGGGACATCTGGCTACCTGCGGTTGCATATCTAAGTCCTTGCTGGCCTCCAGGCTCCCTCAGTGTCACAAGGACCTGCTACATATTTCAAAATCCATGCTGGCGTCCTAGCCCTTCCCACCTCCTCCTAAATCCTCTCCAGCTCAGGGGCTTCCCCCTGCTCCACCCCAGCGGCTCATCCTTCTTATAATACAGTTCTTCTCATTATTCTCCATTCCCGCTATTCCCATTGTCCTTTCTAGTGTCTGTCCCCTGCTGTCCTCTCCCCTCTCCCAGACAGCCCTGCCCTGCCCAGTCCACTGCCCATGGTCAGACTACTTCTTTTTCTCTCTGAATTCTTCCAGATGCCTCTGGATATTCTCTCTCTCTCTCTCTCTCTCTCTCTCTCTCTCTCTCTCTCTCCTACAAAACAAAGCAAACAAACTATGGAGCGGTCATGTTAGCAACTTCTTTACTGTACCTCCCTTGTGTATACGTATCAAGAGGTCCACCCTGAAATTTTACACATACAAGGAACTCTAAACAGACTGAGAGGTTGGATTTATCTATTTATGCGTGTATAGGTAAGGGCAACAAAGAAAAAGAGGCCATGAAGTAGAGAGGGAGCAAGGGAGGGACATGGGAGGGCTTGGAGGGAGGGAACCAAAAGAGGAGATGATAAAGTTTAATTTCAATAAATGAATTAATTTTTAAAAAGAAGAATGTAGTAACTCCAATAAAACATAAATAAAGATTAAAAGCCAGTAAGTTGTGAGAATTCCTCAGGAACCGAACGTTTGGGTGTTGGGTGTGGATCTGAGCAACCACAACTGAGAGTCAAGTTAATCTTTCCTTTCCCAGAGTTCAGCTCTTCATGCCTGGGTTTAAAGGCAACTTTCTCATAGTTTATGAATAAGGCAGGAAAAGCAGGGGGACTCTTAGAGTCAGTTTGTTTGCTTGTGTGTTTTAATTCCTAATCTTCGCTGTTTACCTGGTTTTGTCTGAGAACAGCTTTGTGACCATCCTGGAATTCAACCTCTGGGCAAGGTTCTTCCTTGCTGCCGCCAAAGCAGCTCACAGCTGGACTAAGTCAAAAGAGGACAGCTGGGAAGCTGCCCGAACCTGGATGTTTCTCCTAGTCAGTCATTTTCCCCAGCGCAGGCAGATGGATACCTCAAGCGAGAATATGGAGCCTCAAAGGCAGACTTTGAAGCCAGTGACGTCACTGTCTTTGGGAAGATATCACATTTCTGAGGAGTATGGCTTTCTACTTCAGAATCCTCTGGTAAGGACTGCTGTGTCCCGGCTAGCCCAAATTGTTTGATTATTTGATTGTTTGATATCTTGATTGTTTGATTATTTTATGGGGGAGGGAGTTATTATAAGGGTCAGTATAATACAAAGTCACCAGCCAGCGGAGGATGCTAGAAATATGGGCCTGTGATTCCCAGGGGATGGCACAAAGAGCCGCAGTGTTTGCCTACTGATTCCTTAAATATATCCCATATAGTTAATATACTTAAGGAATCTATATAGCAAAACCTGAATCATCAGAAGCAAAGGGGTGATGTGGGGTTCTCCTCTGTATGCTGTGAGTATATTTTATTACCGTTGGTTAATAAAGAAGCTGCTTTGGGCCCATGTGCTATCAGAGAGAAGGCAAGTAGGGCCCTGGATCAACAGCTCAGTGCTGCGGGCACGTGACCTCTCCCAGGGTGTAACGCAGAATAATGGAATGTCCCCACTGGAGATCCATTCTGCTCTGGAGACAAGATTGTCATGTACTCCAGCAGAGAGAATGAGCAGCCGATGTGCTCAGTGTACTGTGTTAGTACAAATTAGTTTATCTTGGTGGCAACAGAGACAATGGGGGATCTTTGGTGTGTTCAGAGCTGATAAAGATTAGATGGTATCAGGAATCTCTGAGATGAGGAAGGAACGTTGGAAAACACATTGTGCATGCTCCTATGTATCTGCCAGTTTGTATCAGGCTGTTCTCATTAAACGTAGTCTGAGTTTGGAAGATGTGTCCAGGCAAAGTGCTAGTGGCAAAGCCAAGGCTCTTGGCATCTTTTAAAAATTGACCACAAGTGAGTGTAAGGCTGTTCAGTTAAAAGTCTAGGGATTCAATGTCGTGGTCACTGTAACTGCTAAAATCAGCATGGACATCTTGCTTCTGGCCAGTTCCTCCCTTACTGTTGTTTAAAAATACCAGGAACTCAAATACCTATAGCAAAGAGACTTCTGTTTGCTCTGATTTGAAACAGTGTATCACTATGTAGCCCAGACTGGCCTCTTGCCTCAGCTTCCTCAAAACTGGGATTACTGACAAACTCCTCACTTGGTTTTTTTAATGTTACTGGAGGGAACAAAGGGACGGGAAGAACTAAGTTCTCTACAGAAAGCAGTTAGCTGTGACCTCAGTCTCACATTTGCAAGCTGGAGGGGTGGAGGGGTACTCGTTCTAATTGGGGGGGGGCTGAACCTTTAGGCCAGATCTCGCAGCCTGAATTAAGCCATGCCTTCCTGCAGCTCTCTCTCTGAAACAGAGAGCTAAAAAGCAGTCTGTACTCTGACAGGATAGATTTTGTTTGTTTGTTTGTTTTCAAGACAGGGTTTCTCTGCAGCTTTGGACCCTGTTCTGGAACTAGCTCTTGTAGCCCAGGCTGACCTCGAACTCACAGAGATCTGCCTGCCTCTGCCTCCCGAGTGCTGAGATTAAAGGCATGCGCCACCAGCGCCCAGCATACATGATAGCTTTTTACTTATGGTTCCTGACTCCTCCAGGCTCCATGTCACATAGTCCATGCTAAACTAAAGCACCTGACACGACTTCCCAATGCCCCAACAGTGTTATTAAAAGGTGGATATCTTCTTTGTTCTGAGAATTGATTTTAAAGTCCTCGGGAGAATTCCTGAGGGAGGGGCTCTGAAGGTTGTTTTTTCAAAAGGCTCCTCTGTGTCACCAGTCACCCTATCACTCTCATAGTCTCTCACTGTCTTTTTTTTCTGTCTCTTTGCCCCCCCCCCCCGCCCCCTCCCTCGGTGTGTGTATGTCTGTATTTGGAAGACAGGAGGCTCACAAGTTCTAGACCCTGTGACCCTGTCTCAAGACAGAAACAAAACCAAACGGTCAACCAAGCAATGTACCACAAAGCACACAGGACTGTGCGCGCACGACTTTGCTCCAGTACATTCCCATCCTTCCAAGTTCACAGGAGAGGAAGTGCTGATGAGACACGCCCTTGGCATCACTAAGACTGTGGGCTGAGTCAGAAAGATAACGGTGCATTCAGGAAAACACCGGGTCAGACTTTTCTGTCGCTTTCCTTTTTATAAATGTCGGGACCACAGAAGACAAAATAGCAGCGTCAACTTCTCTTCCCATTTGTTAGGAAGGAGCTATGCTGTGGTTTGGTGGATGGATACCCCTTGAAAGAAATCCCCAGTCTTGCTCACACAGAAAAGAAAAATTTCTGGCTCCATCCTGTGACTCACTTATATTCCAGTGCTTTCAGTATGACTCTTTCGTTTCTCTTTCAATTTTCTTTCTTTTGTGTGAGGGTCTTAAGTGTCTTCTCTGGTAAAGGAGAGTGAAGGAACTTTGATTAGAATCAGGCCCTGGCTGACCCAAAGGGCAAGACAGACTCACTGGACAAATAGTGTTGCAACACATTCAACACATCAATCACTGGTTGGGAAAGAGTAGTGGGTGGGACCCAATCCTCTGCTCCAGGGCATAGCCAAGATCTGTTCTTCTCAGGCCATGGGCAGTGAGGAGGGCGGCCCTTCAGGCATCTCCTTCAGGGGGTCCTTGGGTTTCCTTACAACAAATCCTTACCAAGAAGTCTCTCTAAACTAAACATAGTTAGTTAATGGTTGAGAAGGCAATCTGGCTTTGGGGCAGTAGATTACGTTATACAGGCTCTAGCAGAATGGTTCTGTAAACCAAAGACTTCCAATTTTCAGTGTCTTTGTGGAAAATCGCTCCTCCTATCTATGAAATGACACAAAAAATCTTTGATAAGATGTCTGTTCTCTGTGTGCATCAGGGAGACGAAGAATGCAAGAAGATCAGTCTGACAAAAAGGCAGTAAGAGGCTGGGCTGCAGCCCAGCTGAGAGTCGCAACGCCAGGCTCCGGAAAATGACTTAACATCCTTCACAAACACAATGTGACTGCTACTTGAGACATTTCCTTGCACAGCACTAAGGGCAGGGCAGGTGAGAGCGGTGGTTCCTGAGCAGTGTGTTGAAACCATTAGGGGAGTTTTCACAAACAACCCAAATGTTGAGCCCCACCCACCCTGTTTATTCAGGCTCCAGTCTCATGGGCTGGCGGATGGCTGACTGAGAGAACAAGCTAGACAAACCAGCTATGAAGGTGCCACAGTCAACAGAACCTTCTAGAAGGGCTGGAAAATAGTTTACCTGCAAAACTAACACCAAGTAGATGAACTGATAATAAGATCCTTATTGTAGACATGAGAGCGAGAACAGCCAGAGGCACCTGGAGGAGCCCAGAGCAGAGAGAGAAAGAAGTAGATTGAGCATGGCCAACTGACTTGACATGGCGAGGGCTGTCTGCGAGAGAGAGGGGAGAAGGCAGGGTATAGAGAACAGGGAAAGCATAGCTAGAGAAACAGGAAGAGAGCAGAGCTGGGGTAGGGGAGAATTAGCAAGAATAGCAAGGTCATAGGGAGAGGGAGAAGCTGGCGGGAGGGGAGCTCGAGCAGGAGGGAGTTTAGGATTGGGGCAGGGGTGAGAAGGGCTAGGGCACCCGCATGGTCTTTGACGTGGGTAACAGGTTCTTGTGATACTGAAGGGGCCTGGTGCCACAGGTGATGTTCCTTCTGCCTGAGGTGAGGGCAGAGGCTCCTTCAGGCAGAGGGGAACCAGTTTCTCAAGTTCCTGAGGGATGTTGGCTTTTTCCTAACCACCAGAAGTTTTTCTGTAGTCCGGGTTGAGCTCATTTCTGGGTATTTGAATTGCATTTTGGAGTCTGGGGAATTGGAGCCCCCTTAGACTTGACAATCAGAAGACATTGTACATGTACCATTGGGGCAGACAGGCAGACAGACAGACTGACAGGAGTGACCTTGAGGATAACCCTCCAGAAAACAAACCCGTGCCTTTGCCTTCAGAAGAAATTCTAAACACTTGGTTGAGGCATCCGGCCACAACTGGTTGGAAGAAAGGGTAGAAGATGAATTGCCACGGAAGGCTGTACTTTTCAGACAAGACAGAGAGGAAGAACTAGCGTTGCCCTGCAATGGGAGGTCAGCGCAGATGGCCTCTGGGCACATCTGACTCGGGATGCTGGGGCCTTGAGTCACCATCAATCCAGAGTAGGTGTCAAGGCAAAGAGGAGATTGCATAATGGCTGACATTGACCAAGACTGGGATGCACGCGGTAATAAAGGAGGCTATAATGACTGAAGTGTGGGGTTTGGGGGCCGGTAATACTGCAACCAAAAATTTGGAGAGACAACGGAGAAGCAGGCAGTCGGACCTAATAAAAAACAAAAGAAAACAGAAAGAAACAAACCAAAGGACATGACTGCTCCTAGGTATGGGGGAGGAGAATGTTTATTGGAGATTAAGGGAAGAACATAGGTGGGGGCAGAGACATCTAGGAGAGCCCAGAGTGGACATGGTCCTGTGCCCTGTGAAGAGACGGGGGAGGGGAAAAAAGGGGGAAAGTAGGGGAGCCAGGTACAGCAGCCAGGAGGCCCCAAAGAGAGAACTGGTAACCAAAATGGCTGAATGGCATAGGGAAGGTCATCTTGGGGAAAGGACAGCCTATCCCATAGGATAAAGAGAATTTAGGGTAGGGGTGGGGTATGGGGGGCTTTAATAGGTAGGTACTGAGGAATGCTGGGGGAAGCTGGTAGCCAGGTCTGCTTTGATATGTTAAAGTCACCTCAGCCATTTGTCCCCGGTTTGAACCTAACAGTATTCTGCTGTCTTATCATATATAAAAGATTATAACACGACCATGTGGCCCTTGGCCTGGAACCAACTTTTCTTCCTTGAGCAACTGAACTTACTGTCATTAAGTACTTTTACCCTCTGGAAACAGCCACTGGCAATGAACTTGACTGTCTCAGACAACCATCATTGCCTCCTGGCCCATTTCACCTTTCCTACTCTGGCCCAGCTATAAAAGGCTCTGAGTACAATCAGAGTGACTCACTCAGAGGGTGTTCTAATTTGTGTTTGGTTTCTGTGATAAGGGAGGGAGGGAGGAAAAGAGAGAGAGAGAGAGAGAGAGAGAGAGAGAGAGAGAGAGAGAAAGAAAGAAATAGAAAGAGAGAGAGAGAGAGAGAATATGAATGCAGATGCCACAGTGGGCTTCTGGAGTTCTGGAGGTTAGTGGACAACTGTCCCAGGAATTGGTTCTCTCCTGTCACCTCGTGGGACCCGGGATGAACTCAGGTTGTGGTCCTACCTGTGGTTCTAGCCTTCTTTTCCTAACGTTTATGGCTCTTTCTGGCCATTCCCCTAGCAACTGTTGACTGTGATGTTACCAAGAGAGTCATGGAGCATGTGATGTAGCATTTAGTACAATGAAGTTAGAGGTGTTTAGCACCTGCTCTGGCCCTTTATCCGAGACCTTTATTCAGCTAGTTTTGATCAACCTACCTGAAGAGTCACCTCTGGCTTACAGCTCCCTTGTTATAAAAATGAAACTAAATTAGAGCTGGGCAGAAGTTCTCTAGGTCAGCTAGGCGGTTCTGGGACTTCTCTTCCATCCTCTGCGCTGAAAGTACTCTTTATTTTTTGTTTATTTGGCTTTTTAATTAATTAACTAATTAATTAATTAATTAATGTTATTCTTTGCTGTTGCTGCATACACTAGGCAGGTTCTCTTCAATGAGCTAACACTTCCCATCATGCCCAGCTTTACAGAGCCCTTAGGTTTTAGTCAGGGGTAAACCAGACCACATTCTATGTCATCTCACAAATACTAACAGGCCCCATCATGGGGAATTTGTAGGTGTCTGACAAGCTTCCAGGACCGTGCGGACTTCAGAAAATTCCGAATCCCAGAGGCCCCAAAGGTCTTTTCCTCTCTACACAGCCCTTGTAGCTGATTCTTGGCTCCCCGATGCTATGTGGAGATATAAAACAGTCTATCTGAATTTGTAAAACAAATTCCCTGGACAACCAGACTTGAGAGAAACTTAGAGACCTTAGACCTCAGACATCAAAGGGCTAAGGCACATCCTTTGGGGAAGAAAGTTTAATTAATCAATTAATTAAGTGACTGCGACAGGTACAGTACGAACTGACATCAGAGAGGACGCCTGCACCCTAAGGAGACTCTTGCCTGCTTCTATTGTCTCCAACGCTGCAACACGAAATCCTGCAGTGAAGAGTAACAAACATAATTCTGGGCTTTTCTCACTCTCTAAAGGAAAGGCTGGCAGCAGAATGCATTTTAAATGGCTTGTGGTATTGTATGAGAGGGTGTTCAGTACTCTCCTGGGGAAGAATTGAAGAGGCCGGGGAACCTAGCAACACCCGTGGTTGAGGGAGGCATTGCCTCCTACTGAGGCAGGTTGCAAACTACCTTTCAGACTCTTCCTCTCTGTCTGGATTACTTGCAAGGCTTAGTCCCTGAAGGTGGTTGTCCAACTCAGGCAGTGTCAGCATTAGCTGGGGGTCCCTGGCTGCAGGGCTCCACTAGAGTGGAGTATGTGCCTGGGATAAGGGCCAAGGCTGTGGGTTGGACAGTCCCCAAGGGATACAGGTATTGTGGTCTCTGACCACACTTGGACGGCTCCTGGCTGTGTTTGTTTGCAGAAGTCCAAACATAAGACGTTGGGAATGAAGAGAGGCAGCAGCCCTCTGGGTTCTAATGGGAAAAACAGCCCGCAGCCTAGAGTCTCAAGCTATTTAAGGTTTCTCACAGAAACTAGGAAGGCAGAATCCAGTCAGGCTTAATTTAACTCTGAGTGGGGGAGTCCTTATTTAGGTGCCAAAGAAAGGAAGGTACAGGTAATAGTGACAGTTTTTCTTCAGTTTTGCCCACTCCAGGGTCATCTGAGTCCTCCTGACTTCACATGTGTGCTTTTCTGTTTCAGGATAAGCAGAAGGTACGCTAGTCTGTTCTAAAATGTAAGGATCATATCAGTGAGACGAAACAAGTCACCAGTTCACAGGTCTATCTGCATAAATCTATCTTATCTTGTCTATCTATCTATCTATCTCTATCTATCTCTATCTATCTAGCTATCATCTATCTATCTATCTATCTATCTATCTATCTATCTATCTAGCTAGCTAGCTAGCTAGCTATCATCTATCTATGTTTTATCTCTCTGCCATCTATTTATCAGTCTTTATCTAGTTTCTGTCTCTTTCTCTAGTACTAAGGGTGAGAGTCAAGCTCACAGCTCTAGGCAAGTGCTCTGCCCCTGAGCGATTGACCAGCTTCTGCTTCTATTCCTGCTATCCTTTTCTTACATCAGTTTCAAGTCAGCTCTCTTCAGCTCTGCCCCTGTCTCTGGAGAATAGGACACCATCAGTGACTTCTGCCCGGGACAAAGGCTGGCTGGAGTGGGGTGAGGTGAGGTGAGTGGATCAGCATAGACTCTGCCTCCCAGAAGTAGGCAAGTCACGAGACTAATGACCGAGTCTGATGCCGGTCTTCCCCAGCAACACCCCCATCTTTAAGGAGCTACAACCACCCTTCCTGATGTAGTTCAATTCAAGGCTTCCAGTTTGGAATTACTTCAGAGTCAGAGAAAGAAAAGAATTGACTAATTAAAGTCCAAACATTTCAGAGTTTATGGCAAGATGTTGGAAATGACTATAGTTGCAGGTTAACCAGGAGTTTGAGCCCAGAATCCTGGGATATGCAGGTGTTCATGAAAAAAGCCACCCCCCACCAAGTGATATGTGGGTCTCTTGTTGATCGCTACTTCTCCAAATGTGTACTGTCGAACTTCCTGGCCATGTTGTCACGATGCTCAGGGTCAGATCCAACTCCTCTCCCCCATTCTTAGTGTAATGCTAACCCCTCTCTAGTCCCGTAAACTTGTTCAACTTCATTCCAGTGAGCTGAAAAACTGGGTCTCCAGGAAGCCAAGCCTCTAGCTCCTGCTTCTCTTTCTGCCAGAATGCAGCATCTCCCTCCTTCCTCATTCCTCAAGGATGCAGCTCCCTTCCCTCCAGGCTCCTTCCTTTCTCCAGGCTCTGCTGCCCTTGAGTGCCCTCCTCTCCTCCTTCCCATTGCTCCTGTTAGAGCAATGGACTATGAACTGTTTGCTTCACTTACTTAGAAGACCTCGGGGAAAGCAGGTTCCCTTCCACCAACATAGTTCCTAAAAAGTTCAGCCACATATTCCCACACTTCCCTAACACAGGCGCATCTGAACCCAGCATCCGAGACCCTGACCTCAAGTTCTACAGCAGCAGCAGCAACAACTGGAGAAACTAGCATGCACTTCCTTCTGTTGCTTTGTGGCTAAGGGGTAGTCTTATTTATTTATTTATTTATTTATTTATTTATTTATTTATTTTTGAGATAGGGTTTCTCTGTAGCTCTGGAGCCTGTCCTGGAACTAGCTCTTGTAGACCAGTCTGGCCCCAAACTCACAGAGATCCGCCTGTCTCTACCTCCCAAGTGCTGGGATTAAAGGTGTGCACCACCACTGCCCTGTTGGGAAGCCTTATTTTTAACTCTATGTAGATGCCTTTGATCTTCTGATTATTGCCTTTCATCAAATTCTCCTACGTTCTGACTTCCGTGTGGTCTTTCTCTATGGCTCAGTGAACTTTGAGAACTTTCTCTTTATCTGTGCCAATAGAGCCAATTACTGTATCTGCCTTGTAAACACTCCCGGGGTGCTAATCTAGACTCTCTTCTTTCAGTTTGCACAAGCTTCTGAAATGCCCGCAGCATGCTCTGGTTTCCCTTTCAGCGACTTTCCCTCCGAACCTCACACTGCTGGGCACACAGCTTTAATGTCTGCAGACGTGTACGCTCTGCCCCTTGAGAACTAGCTTTCTGCCTGCTCTGCCTTCTGCTTGCATTTCCTCTTCGTGTTTTCACCCATCACACAGTCACTCAGTTCACAAACACGGTCTTCGTCCCTTTCCTCCGCAGCTCAGGGGCCATGCATGAATTCGGACAACCGGCTCACTGAAAAGCCACTGGGCTCCATCCAGGTTTGGCAAACATTTTCTGGCAGGCCAAGGAAACGTCCTTGGCATAGCATGCAGCTTTTTTGCTGCAGTTTCTCAGCACTATAGCTTGCATGCAAAAGCTGCCACAGACAAATGGGGGCAGATGGATCTCAGTGCAAACTGATTCACAGAGATAGATGCTCCCAGACCAGGTGGCTTAAGCCTGTAATTCTAGCTGGGCTGGTGGCTGAAGCAGGAGGTTTGCCAGGTTCCTGGCAGCCGGGGCAATTCACAGAGACTTCCTCAAAATAAAAATAAAACTATAGACTTGAGGGCTTGTATCCACAACCCAGTACTTGCGAGGCCGACACAGACTATTTTGAGTTCAAAGTCAACCTGGCCTACGTAGCAAAACTCTGTCTCAAAAGACTAAACATACAAAAAAGCAAAAATGGAGAAAAGAAAAAGTCACTTTCAGATTTCAAAACCAGGCCCCATGCTCATGATTCTGTGAAAAAGTCCCTTTTCATTCCCACAGCAGGTGAAGCATTAACCACTTCTGTTCTCTGCAGAGTCCCAAGCCCGTAAAATGAAGCATGTGGTTTGCATCGGGACCCGGTTGCCTGCACTTCCCCCTCCCTTGCTAAATGAAGTGAGCATAAGATTCTCGTCATCCGCAAGTCTGTGTGGCTAGTCTAGCCTCAGGCCAGGCTAGTAGTGTGCTCTGTTTGCACCCCTGGGCTGACTCGAATTCTCCTAAAGAGTAGTTCAAAGCTGATGTCCATAGAGATCTAAAACACTGAGCTGTTTTTCTTTGAAACGCAGAAAGAACTCCCCGATCAATACAGGCCTTGGATGGAGATTGCCAGGGAACTTCCTCACTTAATCGAGAGCCACCAGCTCCGGGCCCACGTGTACAAGGTACATGTTTTGTTCTTCTCTTCACGCCACCCCGCTTGCTGTAACCCTCCTTCTGTCTTCACAGCCTTTCTCTTCCCGAATTTGTGGGAGTTAGGACCATTGACCCGGCAAAGGGAACCGATCATGCTGCCGAGACTGTCCTCAAATCTGTCTTCCTTAGCTCACACAAAAAACACCTGCAACATACCAAGTCTTCATCGTGTTTGCGTGAAAAAGATCACAGATAAACATTTAAAATAAATGAAGGGGAGGAAGTAGGAAGATAGGCGTGTCCTTGTCTCTAGTCACGTGATGGGTGATCTGCCACCCCTGAGTGGGTTACCTTGATCTTATCGAGGAACATAACATTGATATAGCATGTGATATACTGGCTGAATCAAAGTCTTTCTGACTTATAAATTCAGGCTCAGTCACGGCTCTGGAGAAATAATGAAATCCAGAGACATCACACTAAAATTTGCATGAACATATATGAGGTACATCTGTGACAGAGTGGGCAGGCACAGAAGAGGATGGCTTCTTGGTCCTAGGAGAATTGGAGCCATCTCTCTCCAGAAGGCATGCTAGGAGAAAATGCTTTGATTCAGAAATTTCATAGTAGGCACGAAACCTGGAGAGAGCCTTCTAATCTCGCTCCCTTGTTTGAGAAATGGAGGAAGCCTTCGTCTTGTTGTTGTGAGTATCAATGGATTTTGTAAATGCCCCTTCACAGCTCCTGCCATGTAACAGCACCCACATCTGCACGGGGCCTCCCCTTTCTTGTCCACATCTATAAGAAGCAGGCCGTAGGATTTCAGAGCTATGAGACAGCCCTCCATCTTTCAGGGCTTTCTTTGCTGGTGTTTAACGTCTGATTGTGAGCTGATTGAGACGTACTTATCGAATGGCCCCACGGGACGTCGGAAATCAGGATGGGCAGCTGGCCCCAGTAACAGCCTAGATAAACACCCCCCTCACTCAAACCCAGTCCTCACCCATTGAAGCTGAGGACTGAAATTGCCCCATGCAAGAAAACACAACTCCCAAGTTATTTTATTTTATTTTTGTACAAAGCTCATGCAAAGCCTGCTGGGAAAGGACCCACAGAGGCGGTTTGCACACACTGTGGACACACTACCCTAACAAAAACATCGAAGGAAGAAAATAAGACGGAGAATACTATCAGGAAAGAACGAACGCTGACCTCTGACCCCCTAGAAAACCTGCTGTGAGCGCACTACCCCCAGTCAAGCTGTGGGCTTGAAGCACATACACACTGTCCCCCCAAACTCCTCACAGGATGTTCCACCCTGAGAGGGAATGCCTCATGCTTCTGTCTATAGCTGAAAACCAGAACCCACAAAAGTGTTAGATGGACATTGGCGGGGAAGGTCTCCCAATGTGACGGAACCCACAAACCAAGGCTTCTGTCCTCGTCCACCCTCTTTTGTACTGATTAGCTAGTTACTAGCCACAGGACAGCTCTGTGGAACAAGCTAGGTACCAACATCAATGGAGATGTTGAATACGCATGTTCTTTGCTGCCGCTAGTTCATTTGTATGGCTCCATCTTGCAAAAATACTCACTCAAAACAAACTAAAAATGAATATACAGGGCTGTTTGTCATAGTCATTTTAAATAGCGATAGCAAATAAAAAATCAAAGATGAAAGGATAAAAGGTGAAGGCCCTGAATCTCCCTTAACAAACACGTCTGTTAAATAAATGAAAACGCACAGCTATTAAGAGGCCAGACACACGTGTATGTGTCTCTCTACCACTCTTTTTTTTAAAAAAATTATTTATTTATTATGTATACAGCATATCCTTCCATGTATGCTTGCATGCCAGAAGAGGGCACCAGATCTCATTATAGATGGCCGTGAGCCACCATGTGGTTGCTGGGAATTGAACTCAGGACCTCTGGAAGAGCAGTCAGTGCTCTTAACCTCTGAGCCGTCTCTCCAGCCCCTCTCTACCACTCTTATACATCTTTGCTGTATGGTTTACCAAGCAACAGACAGTGTATGGTAGGCTATATGTGCACAATTATTGAACATCTGCTCATGTGGATGCGTGCATATCATTGATAGTTATGTAAATGATAGAAGCAGAGACATGCATGTTTACCTTCTGAGAGGGTCTTAATAAGTAACCCAGGCTGGCTTCAAATTTGAGGTCCTTTTGTCTCAGCCTCCTGGATGCCGGAACTGTAAGTGTTTCTTCAAAAAGACTCTTTCCACCCTGCATAGAAACAAATACCCTGTCTTGTACATATTCATCCTGCCAGATGTTGCAGCCGAGGATGCTTTGCAATAGGCTCCAGAAGTGCTGAGTGCAAGTACCCAGTGTGTCTCAGGAATACTCAGCACTTCAGTGCTGTGCCCAAGTACCCGGTGTGTCTCAGGCACTTCAGTGTTGTACTCAGTGAAGTGTGTACTCAGCACTTCAGTGTTGTACTCAGTGAAGTGTGTACTCAGCACTTCAGTGTTGAGGTCAGCAGGGCGGCAGGAATGGGCCGAAGAGCTCTTGAGTATTTACTGAGCTCCGAGGAAAGAATGTTGAGATTAAATTCTCCAGGTTAAATAAATAATTAAATAACATCTTATAATATTTGATTAAATACACAATTCAGTAATGCCCTGAGGAGTCAGGGTACCCACAAACAGCAGTAACGTATTTTCCACTCAACAGCAGTAATTGGCAGTTCAAAAATATAATTAGCACAAAACCTCAGACATTGGGCCAGCACACTAAATTTCTAACATCACTTCCATCCCAGGTGTGGTATGGATGCCGAAGAGACCATTTTCTGATTTTAAAGTATGTTTACACACTTGCTGTGCACTGATATGTATGTGCCTGGCATTTTACAGCCATTCTCAATAATTTGTAAGTTTAAAAAGGTGTTTTTTACATCCTGGTATTGGCATAAAAACAGACAGGAGGACCAATGGAACCAAATCAAAGACAAAGATATCAATCCACACATCTACAAGCACCTGATTTTTGACAAAGAAGCAAAAAACATAAAATGGAAAAAAGAAAGCATATTCAACAAATGGTGCTGGCATAACTGGATATCAACACGCAAATAGATTCACATCTATCATCATGCACAAAACTCAAGTCCAAAAGACATCAACATAAAACCAACCACATGGAACCTCATAGACAAGAAAGTGGGAAGTACACTTGAACGCACTGACACAGGAGACCACTTCCTAAATGTAACCCCAGCAGCACAGGCATTGAGAAAAACAATTAATAAATGGGGCCTCCTGAAACTGAGAATCTTCTGTAAAGCAAAGGACACAGTGAACAAGATAAAACGGCAGCCTGCAGAACGGGAAAAGATCTTCACCAACCCCACATTGGAAAGAGGGTTGTTCTCTAAAATATACAAAGAACTCAAGAAATTGGTCATCAAAAGAACAAATAATTCAATAAAAAATGGGGTACTGACCTAAATAGAGAACTCTCAACAGAGGAATCTAAAATGGCTGAAAGACACTTAAGGAAATGCTCAGCATCCTTAGTCATCAGAGAAATGAAAATCAAAACAACTCTGAGATTTCATCTTATACCTGTAAGAATGGCCAAGATCAAAAACACTGACGACAACTTATGCTGGAGAGGTTGTGGGGTAAAGGGAACATTCCTCTATTACTGGTGGGAATGCAAACCAGTACAGTCACTTTGGAAATCAGTATGGCGATTTCTCAAAAAATTAGGAAACAACCTTCCTCGAGACCCAGCAATACCACTTTTGAGTACATATCCAAAGGATGCTGAATCGTGCTACAAAGACATGTGCTCAACTATGTTCATCACAACAATTTTTGTCATAGCTAGAACCTGGAAACAACCTAAATGCCCCTCAACCAAATAATGGATAAGGAAAATGTGGTGTATTTACACAATAGAGTACTACACAGCAGATAAAAAATGACATCTTGAAATTTGCAGGCAAATTGATGGATCTAGAAAATATCATATTGGATGAGGTAATCCAGACCCAGAAAAATAAATATCGTGTCTACTCACTCATAAGTGGCTTTTAGAAATAAAGCAAAGAAAAACCAGCCTTCAATTCACAATCCCAGAGAACCTAGACAACAAAGAGGACCCTAAGAGAAACATGCATGGATCGAATCTACATGGGAAGTAGAAAAAGACGAGATCTCCTGCGTAAATTGGGAGTGTGGGGACCTTGGGAGAGGGTTGAAGGGGAGGGGAGAGGAAGGAGGGTATGGGAAAAAATATAGCTCAATAAAAACAATTATATATAATTATAACATACAATATATTTTATTATCATTATTATATATAATATATATAATTACATATGATATATATGCATTTTAAAGAGACACCATTGCTTCTTATGGTGAGTACAGTTGGACAGTTAGAGCTGTCAATAAGGCAAGTGAATGGCAACCTTTCTTAACCATCAAGTTTGCACAAGCAAACCAACATGGAGCTAAAGAAGCAGCCTTTCCAACAACAAACAAATGCCAGGAAAAGAAATAATGAAAATAAACTCCGTGTGTGTGTGTGTGTGTGTGTGTGTGTGTGTGTGTGTGTGTGTGTATGAAGGAACATCAACCTCTAGTTTCTCTCCCCCCAAACACACACACATGAAAATGTCACAATGAAACTCACTTCTTTGTGTTCTAAACAAAACTGAAACGAGAGCAGAGCTGAACTTGGAAAATGAACGGTGGAAAATTCTGGAATGTGTGGCCACTACGTTCAACTCCAGAAGGTAAAAGGCGTTTAGCGTTGTCCGTGGCCATCAGTGGTTGTTTGTGATAGCAAAGGGATTAACTACAAAGACAGCGTTTCCCTTTCAGTTCCCATAGTTTCTTTTTGAATCATCTGTATGTTTAGAAGGCGAGGCCAGCAACCCTGCAATGTTCAGAAAACATTGTTTCAAAGGACATTGTTCCTTTATACCGAGACTGTCCTGTAGGTAGGTGCCTTCTTCAACAGCTGAGATGCGGCCAAGGACAAAGTGGGGAGACAAAACAGATTTTCAAGAGTTTGAAAGATTTCTATACTGATTACATGTGAAATATATGTTTTATACAGTGACTCAACAAAGTACATTTTTAAAACTAATGTTACTTCTTTGTCGCTTTAAAAAAAATTGTGGCTGCTGGAAAATTTCGAACAAAACCTGTGACTCATGATTCAAGGGAGTTGGGCTGTGGTCAGTCCGCAGAACCACCTCATTCCTTCCTGATTCTGTGACGTTAGCAAATGCCTCTGCGACAGTCTTGCCCTTTGGATCCTGCATGGGGGCTTCAGCGTCATATTTCAGACACTCTTCATTAAATTAAGCGTCCTGTAGCGAGTACCAGGTAACTACTGTCGTCATTGATTGCACCACCACAACAGCAGGCAGACCCTGCCCCCTAGCGGCGGGAGGAGGAAGGGCTCTGCACCCCTTCTACCCTCAGGGTCCATCCCACCCCTAGGGAGCCAGTGTCCCCAGCAGCTTCAAGTGGCACCCGCCCTCTGAGGCGCCTGTGGGGCAAAGGCAGCGAAGTGCAGAGTGCCAAAGGGATGAGCGGATGAGCAGATGGCACCCGGGTTAGATAGGGAAGCTGGTGTGGCTCGACTGCGTACTGGCGCTGCTTTCCAGGATGACCTTTCCGTGTCACCAGAAGTTGGGGTTTCCCACGAGACAGGGTGAGGACGGAGCTGGGTGGAAAGCCCCGCCACTTCATCTTGTTGGGTTGTGGGTCATTTGCCAGGGCCCCGAGCAAGCCTTATGCCCAGCTGAGCCACGATTTTGTAGGGAGTTTACATCCCTAACCCACTGGATCTTACTCTTTTCAAAGCTGCTACAAGGTTAAGAGATTTGACAACTGCGCGGGGGTGGGGGTGGGGGGCAGCAGATATGATGAGGCCAGTACGGGGGAGGGGGGTACTTAGCTCAACCTCGATGCTTACTCTGCGACCCTCAAAGCAACAGATGGAGACCAGGTTCTGGCACCCTAGAACGTGGCATCTCCCACATTGCGTCGCTGGGTTAAGTGGGTGTGCATGAAGCTATTTAGATGTTTGTTGAAAGCTAAACAGCTCCTATAACTGCAGAACCCTCAAGTCACGGAACTCCTGCCTTCGTCTTTCACCCTTTAGTGCTTCAGCTGCTGATCTTAACATCTCTTTAGTAGATGCCCCTCCTGGACTCCAGGTTCCTAAAGAGTCATCGTGAGCAACGTCTGGCACACCTGGTGCTGGCTGCTATCACCATGGGATTCGTTTGGCAAGAAGGAGAGACCCAGCCCCCAAAGGTGAGGGGTAGGGAGAAGCCTATTAGGTGATCCTGGAGTCCCTGCACCAAGAGTCAAGCCACCAGTCCGAGGTTCCACTACACGGTCTCCAAAAAATCAGAAGAAGGCAAGGAAAGGGTTAGGACTTTCTCCCCCTGCTATAGAGCTGATTTTCTTTTAGGCTAATGGCCAGTTTCAAAGGCTCTTGACACACCAATTCCAAAAATGTGGGACAAGCTTCCTTAGATACCAAGAACTCATAAAACACCTTGAATAATTTTTTTCAAATACATCGGTTATTACGATTTTCATAATCATCCTGTTGTCCAGTCAAAGTCAATACCTTTGCCCAGAGCAGCCGGAGGACAGTGGGAAGACCAGAGTAACTGATTCCGCTGAAACAGATGTCTTTCCCCCAGTGATTCACAGAGATGCGGTCACTCCCTTATTTCCTTAATACCTGCCCAGCCTGCTGTTCATTTATCAGTCCTTTATCTAGCTCTGTGTGACTTTCGAGTTTCAATCTGTCTGTTAGGGCATAAAACCCCAGTTCTCTACCTTCAGTTTCCCCTTCCTTTCTTTCTTTTCTCCTTGGTTCCTTCGTTCCTTCCTTTCTAAAAGTCTATTAATTTTCTTTAATCCTTGTCAAGGTCTTATCAAATCATTCAAAATAGACTAGGACTTTCTCTTTAGTCAAGTTGTTCTCAAACTCATGATCCTCTTGCCCACCAAGTGTGGGGCTTACAGGCATGCGCCACCCTGTCCAGTTATGAGCCCCTCCTTTGTATTGTTTGTGCTGGCTGGCAGTGCCGGGATAGAATCCAGCGTCTCTGCGTGCTGAGTTAATTCGACAGGAGCTCCAGATATTTCCTCTTCCCCTTTCCTAAGTTTCCCTTTCCCAGAAATCAAGTGTGGCTCTTATTCCAGGACCGCCCCATTGTGTGAGAAGTCCGAGCCATGCTCTGCCAGGCTCATCACATCTCTTGTCCCACCAGGAAACACGGGAGCCTGGGAGGAAAGGACAGCTCCTCTAGATTCTAACGCGGCAGCTATTGTATCTCTTCTTCGGATGCTCAAGGGTCTAATGTCCAGTGTTGGAGAGTTGAAAACCTAGGCTTGTGACATCTTTTTTTATATATCTATTTATTTATTATGTATACAATATTCTGTCTGTGTGTATGCCTGCAGGCCAGAAGAGGGCACCAGACCTCATTACAGATGATTGTGAGCCACCATGTGGTTGCTGGGAATTGAACTCAGGACCTTTGGAAGAGTAGGCCATGCTCTTAACCTCTGAGCCATCTCTCCAGCCCGGCTTGTGACATCTTAATGAGTTCCTTTGCCATATGCTCCCTAAACTGTTCTCCTGAATCAGGAGGGGGGCTTGAGAAGGGGTGAGGGAAGCAACGGCCAGCCCCCAAGGCCACCCCAGCCTCATGACCCTTACCTATATCGTGTAAGTCTTCCCTGATCCCCCAGCTGAGGGACCACTTCACCTCTTCCCATCCTCCCCAGCCCCCGCCTCCTGCAGAAGCTTGCCACAGAGTTCCACGCTTTGCAAACTCCACAATGGTTCCCCTCCTACAACACACTTCTCTCCCAGCTCTGAGGAAGGAAGAATGGCAGACGTAGATCTGTAAATTGCCCTCGGTCGCAGGCTGGGGAGCCGCTCAGTGGGTAAATGACTTCCAAGCAGGCCTGACACGGGCGCTTTGGTCCCCAGACCCTATGTGAAAACTGGCGTGGCAATAGTAAGCAAGAGACCACTGGGTCTCACAAAAGGTGGAAGGTGAGGATCGGCACCTGAAGTTGTCCACTGATTTTCGCACATTCAACTTAGCGTGAATGTGCCTTCATTCACCTATCTCTGTTTCTCTGACCATGCCTGTCTGTCTGTCTCTGTCTCTCTGTCTCTTATTTTGGCTCAGTCTCTCTCACCCTTTCTATGTACATCTACATCGCTATTTCCATTTATGTATCATAGGCATCAATGCCTGTATCTGTATATCGACATGTCTACCATCTATCTATCTATCTATCTATCTATCTATCTATCTATCTATCTATCTATCTATC